AAATGTATACGCTTCAAGAATCAATGCTTCGAGTTCGACCTCTTCCAATAAACGAGGAAGTTCTAAAATCCACAATAATATGAAATGGTAATATAATTATTGATACTTATCCGAATTATCTTTCACTTAATATTAATATGTAATAATATTGTATAAGATAAAAAAACAGCTATAGGAGCAATGCAATTAAAAGAGAAGATTATAATGCATTTGTGCGTTACTACTTGTCGCAATGAGTTTCAAAGATCTTGCTAAAAATTGGCTGTATCTGTTCCAGCATATCCGAAGTCAACGTTCCCCTCTGTTTTATTTTAAAGGCTGATGCATTAGATTCTCGGATTAATCTTGATGCAGCATAACACGCTACTATTGAAGGAGACAAGGCACATTCGCTAGTTCCTGCAGAGATAGCCCACCACCAAAATACTGCTAATGAACCAGATAAGAGATCTCCCTGTCCACCACATCTCCTTCCAGAACCAGCCAATGCACATGATACAGTCTCGGTGCCTTTGTGACCATCTACAATCACATCCTTTGCTCCCTTATATAAAATTATAACACTTTTCCCAAGAGTTTCCGCCACATGTTTCACATCGGAAACTTTAACTATAGGAGTAGGTGGAACAGTCTTGTCCAGTACTGCTTTGATCAAACGACTGAACTCTATTGCATTAGGTGTTAGGATAACTCCAGGATAATCCTTTATGATTTCTGGCTTCTGACAGACTAGGAATAAACCGTCAGCATCGATAATCAGTGGTTTCCTTGCCTCTCGGCAGATCGTTATCAATTCAATGATCGTTTTGAATATCTTCTCATCTCTGCCAAGTCCAGGTCCTATCAAAATAACATGCAGACGATCAAGCCAGGGTTTTATTTGTTTTATTGCATCCTGCTGATCCAGAACTGGATGAATTATCGGCTCTGGACTGAATGACTTGATAGGAATGCTAGCATCCTTTATGCAAAATACATGAACAAGATCAGCGCCAGTTCTTAGCGCACTCATGGCTGCGAAATACGGTGCTCCTGTGTATTCGATGCTACCACCAAAGATTCCAATTATGCCATCTTGACCTTTGTACTTGGTATTGATCAAACTTGGTAATACCTTCCGTATTCCTTTCAACATACGTTCATCCATAGATGATGATGCAGACATCGTAGATATTGATACAAATCTGATGTATTGCCTGTAGACAAAATTACAGATAACAAGTGCCATTTTTGAGGCAAGAAAAATTAGCTCTTAAAGTATTCGAGCTCTTAAACACATTCGAAAACTAATCACAAACCTCTTACAAGAACAAAAACTGTATAAAACATTTACAAATCAGTTATCTATATTATTCAAATTTTGGCTTATCTTTACCTGTAATGACAATTATTTCCTAATCTCTTCTCACAATGAAAGATGTCGAACAAGATGCACAATGTCACAAAACGAAACTACTTATTTTTCTTATATTATTACAATGGGTTTACAATATATCTGTCAGAACAATCTGTGTAATTAACTATTGATACTAGAATTGACAAATTCCGTTACAAAAGGGGTAATCGTAAATAATATTGCGAATCACAAATGTAATTAAGAAGAATTTTGAGTCAACATATCTTTGTTCTGTTCATCGGCCAATTAACATATAGATTTATTTCATTTACTAAAAAATTGACGAGTCAGATACGAAAATGCCGCGTTGACATAACCTCAAAATACAATAAGTTTCGCACGCATATTTTTATTATGATACTTATAAAATATGTTACATTATTATATACAGTATATGTTATAACAATATTCTTTAAATTTAAACGTAATGTACAAAGTAACGCTGGAAAAGTCGCAACTGATAGTTAAAAAATACAATCTTTCTCGTTGAATTAATTACGAGCTTTGTTACAATTTCGATTGCAACTGATTTTATTATAAATCAAAGCAAATCAGATGATAAAAGATTTGCTTTTGCATTTTCATCCGCATGATCGCAACTTTGCAAGAAAAAAGGAAACGATAATGAAGCAACAATGAAAACGCGAAATAATCGAGAATTTTTGCAATTCTCTTTTCTCTTAAAATTTATTTTAAGTTATTTATTTTAGGTTAAGTATTTTAACTTAAGCCTGAATTGAGAACGAGACTCATAAATGGGAGATTAGATTTCGACCAATCAAATGACGCTGATTTCATTCTGCTTCGTCCCGATTGGTAGCATCTTTAATTCTCACAAGTAGCGCCGATATGGACTTAATCCTTTTCTCCGTCCTCTGTCGAGCACGTTGTTCTAGCCGCATCCTGATAGAAACCAACGGGGCAAGAATTCCTTAGGAAGGATGAGTCTTGGCAAAGTATATTTTTTTGAGAATTTTATTTTAAGTTAATATGGCTTTAGAACTTTGAGGAATGTGTAAAATATTTATGATAAGTGTTTTTTAAGCTTTAAAATATATAACAAATTTTCTTCTTGAAATCACACATATCATGCAATTATGGTGAGATTCTGATAAATTTCGTGTTTTTTATGGATACAAATTAATTTTTTGATTTTAAAATCTTTCCAGATGTTGACGACGAATGCGAAGATAATTAAAAGTAACGGGGCCGAGCCCGACCAGTTCGAGGTTAGCGTTTCTCAAGCTCTCCTCGAATTGGAGATGAACAGCGATCTAAAATCGCAGTTGAGGGAACTCTACATCACGAAAGCGAAGGAAATTGAAACGAATAATAAGAAGGTGAAGTCTCATTTCTTGCAATTTGCTTGTTATCTGATTCCATTCTTCAATATGTTAACAATTTTTTGTTTATTATAAGATTTAAAACTTATTCTACAACGTACTTTTTGTTTCCTGTTTTCTGTTTTTTGCTTTTTTTTACATCTTGTCTTTTTGCTTCTTATCCAGTTTTTTATTTTATATCGTTTGAGATAAAAATTAATGAACTTCGAAAAAAATAAGAAATACATAGTAAGAAATGCAATTGTTAATAAAACAGTTGCAAAGAAAAAAAAAGAAAAAAGATAAAAAACAAGAAATATGAAAGAGCACATTGAATAGGTTGTAACAGTCAAATTAGTATTACTTTTTATTTTCAATTGAAAATTGAATGAGTTCTTAAGTGGGTTACTGTTTATCATATTCTTTTATTTGTAATTCAACCAATCAACCAATCAACTTATAAAAATAAATATTCATGAAATATATTGGTCAGGATTGAGAGTCCAAAATTCGAAACTATGAATGATTGTTCTTGTATAGAACCACATTTCTCTTATATTAAAATTATTTTTATAATGACTTTACATACTTGCAACTATATGCAAATTAATTAATTTTAGTAAAACATTTACACTTTAACATTTTTGTAATATTCCTTCAAGAAACTATTTTAAGACAGAACTCTGTTTTCTTACAGTCTATTATTATATACGTACCTATGCCGAAGCTGAAAGCATTCCAGAAAATTCAGACACGGCTGGTACGTGAACTAGAGAAAAAGTTCTCTGGGAAGCATGTGATGTTCATCGGCGAACGTAAAATCTTGCCCAAGCCGACGAGGAAAACACGAACCAAGAACAAGCAGAAACGTCCTAGAAGGTAAGAAAGTAAAAAAAACTGAAAATATAAGTTATGTTTTGTTAAAATTAGAAGTTTTTTTAATTGAATTATTATATAGTCCATGTTTTTTTCTCTTTCTTTTCATTGGAAAGAAAAAAAGAGAGGAAAAATTTTGTAAGAAGTCAAACTTCTTGCAAAAGGACATACTTCAGTTGAAAACGTTAACTTCAGTTAAAACAATTATATTTATATGGCATTAATGAAATTGTCAATATTGATATTGCATATAACTGTGTGATTAATGTTCTATGATACATTTTCTTTCAGTCGTACGCTGACTTCAGTTTATGATGCGATATTGGAGGATTTAGTATATCCTGTAGAAATTGTTGGTAAGCGTATCAGAGTCAAACTCGATGGATCACAGCTTATTAAAGTTCATCTCGATAAAAACGAACAAACAAATATCGAGCATAAGGTAATTATTCTCCTTTATTTTACACAAAATATTAGTTCTATCGTTTGACAATTTGTTACATACTTTGATATCTTTAAACAGGTCGACACCTTCGCCTCAGTTTACAAGCAGCTGACTGGACGGGACGTCACGTTCGAATTCCCTGAATCATATGTATGATAAATGTAAAAAAAATTAAAAGTATTTTAATCTACATTCTCATTTACATCTCTTTTTATGTTTGCTCTTATTATTTAATATGTTAGTTTTATCGGATTAATATATGTATGAAAATACTTGTAAAAAAAGAAAGAAGAGACTCACAATGATACGAACATAGAAGATAGGAAAAGGCAAGAAATCACTAAATTCACAGAAAAATCAAATGTATACTGTTGTGATATAGCATTCTTCATTTACATTAATCAATTAATTTCCAGCTTTGTGCAATTTAAATAATATTCAAATGAATCAAATTTGTTAAAAAATAAGTATAAATAATTAGATAAGGTGATAAGTAAAATTGTTTTATCAACAATCTAAGAAAAAATACAATTTATTAATAATTTAAAAATTATTTATAGTTTGTAAAAAAAGCAAAGAGAAAGAAGAAACACATGATGTAAAATGCAGTAAGCGAACAAACCTTTCATAAAAAATACATCGGTAATAGTCGGTAATGCTGACATGATAATTCATGACAATTTCAGCAATATGGCGTTCACGTTGTGGACACTCTTTGAAGCAACTCTGTTATGTTTAAATGCGGTCTGTGTTCTAAACGAGGAAAGATTTCTTGCGAAAGGTGATAATTAATAAGCACGCATTCATTATATTTATTTATTTAAATTAACTTATGACTGTATATCTTTTTAACGTAAAAAAAAAGAAATATTATAGGTTATAATTGTCAATTTTGAAGAACAAAGTTACCTCTCTAAATTTATTATGTTTATAATCAGTCAAGGATTAGTAAAAAAATTATTACACTTTATTAGTTATTATGCTTTATAAAATATTACACTATTACAGTTTATAAATTATTACACTTTATTTTAGTTGGTTGGGCGTCGTGGCAAAATGTACAAGGATTTGGAGAACCTCCGACAGCTAAGTCGCAAATATTAAATCTCATTAAGTCCATACGAACTGTGATGAGGGGTAATTATAATGAAAGACTTATGCCTATTTAACATTGTGATTTTTGTATAACTTTTTTACGTAATATATTAATTTTCAGTTCCTCTGATATTCTTCAATATCTTGACATTAGTTGTAAAGCTCGTACTTGGTTGATAAAGAAGAGATATAGGACAGGAATGTGTGAATGGAATGCGCTGTATGCAAGTCTACTTGTTAAAAATAATGTGTGTATACAAAAGAATCATTAAATTATATTATTTTTACTTTTATGGTCAACTTTTATATATAATTTAAGTCATATGTTAGTGTGCAAAAATTTGATTGAGTGGAATTTTCTGTATAAAATAAGCAATGTATAAAATATATATATAT